TGCAGCCCTCTTCACATGCAAGAAAAACACTTTTGACAATAATATATAAAAATAGATCTAAACAAGGACCATTTGCATGGGAGAATATCAATCCCACCCCCACATTGCTCTGGGTTCCATAGATACAACAGAAACCAATGATAGCCTATCAAGTGCAACAAATTTCATGTGAGTATACACCGATTCAAACATTTCAATAAAGATATCAACCCATGATAAACCTAAGACTCTTAATACCCTTAATCTCAATGTTAGGTGCTAACAATCTTATAGGTCTATCTTGAGACATGATTTTCCTTCAAAACGAATCTACTCACCAACAAGACAACCCACGGGTCAAGCAATACCAAGGACCATATTCTGGGAAGGCAAACATATAAAACAACATAAACTAATGCAAACTGCCCAGGAAAAGGTACAAGAAAATAAGATCACTTAAAAATAAATCAAACAGTATATCCACAGAGAAACCACAAATCATGACACACCCCACATTAGGAAAATAACTGATAAAAAGAGAAGTTGCAGTTACCTCTCCCAAGCTAAAAAAAAGCTAACTTGCCTAGGAATACAACTAACATCAACTGATATTATTTTGTGAATATCAACAAGCTATTCCTTCAACTCATTAATTCGATGCTGACGAAGATGGCATATACATAGATGTCATGTCCAATATGAGTTTAATCTATCAACTGTTTGTACATATAGATGGCTCCACAGGTACTATCACTAAAGAGCCAAGTTTGAGTACTACCTGTCTTACCTGTTTACAGCTTTCCTTGATTAAAAAAATATATATAAGAAAACAAAAACATTTTTCCTTTATACTTATGGAAAGGTGAAATAAGATGAAGTCACAAGGTCTACTAATTGACTCCTTTGTGGCTATGTACTTGCAGACATTTTACAAAACAATACTACAGTGAACACAATTTCCCAATGACAATAGAAAAAAAAAGAAAAAAACATCATGCTTACTCTCATAACCTCTCCAAGCACACAGGAGTGAATACGTTATAAAAACATTTCAAAAGAATATCACAATTTACTTCTGGCTGATGACCTTATTCTAAGATTAATGTGACTATGCCCCCAGGCTGGTCAACCCATCTTCAATAGTTCTATCACTGAGGGTATGGTATATATCCTATGGAAGCCAAGCATATTAAAGTCTCACTGAGAAACGACAAACCTATGTCACTTAATAACATCTACTTCTAAATCCTCAAGGGAATCAGTACTCAGGAAGTGTGGAAGGCCCACTGTAATGCTGTGTTTGGAACTGCTTGTCCTGCTCGTCCAGACCAGTTGGACAAGATGTTTTGACCATTCAGAACCTGTACTATCTCATCCCAGACAAGTTGTCCACTTCGTCCATCTGGTCCTCCTGTGAAGGTGGACGAGCAGGATGAAATGACATCACAACAGCTTTTGTATGTAAATATTGACAGTTGCAGGTAACCACAAGATATAGATGGGTAATTTTATGAGCCTTTACTGGTGTTATCAAAGTATATTTTTGCATTTGTCAGTTGCAGGTAAGTTAAATATGCATCAAAGGAGTTACATGACCCCTAGAATGAGGTCTCATGCATATCCTGAGCCAGACAACTGCCTAGGTTAGAAGCAACACACATTACAATAGTACATCTGTCAGTACAGAAGTAAGGAAAGGATATTGGATAGCGATTTTTAAAATATTGAGACACTTGCATATCCAATAACTCTGTTATTTTTGAGTTGCGGATGAAGTACATAGAAGATAAGTTTCTTCGAATCACTCACTCTATCATTTGCATATATTATTTTTTGCCTAAAAGGTGGCTTTATGAAACTTAACCTGTACTGTCCAATGCTGAGTCTGTCCAACGCTCCCTCCTGCTGTGAACATGTGAGGTTTCTTTGGTTTTCTGGACGGAAGTTGGGGGGCCAACAGCCCCATGGGAGGGGGAGGGGGAACAGAAGAAACAGTTCCCTGCATCAGACAATAATGTAATTGATTCTGTGTATATTACTTATATTTTGCCCTGCAATTTCCCTGGTACCTTTCATGCCTTCCCGTGTTATCAGGGCCAAGAATGTGGGGGTTTGGGGGGTTTTCAAGCAACAATTTTGGTATACATTTGGATAGGAGAATGTGAGAAGAATCCATTGATGCCCAAACCGTCACGAACATATTTCCACCTACCTTGCAAACAACGTCAGAAATAACCCTAAACACTTCTTCAAAGTCTTTAAGTCGCGCAGACAGGACACAACGGCGATCACAGCCTTGAAAGACTACAACATCACTCTTGTAACTGACCCAGAACTCAAATCACAATTACTCAACACACACTTCCAGTCTTTCACACACAAAGATGATAATACACCTAACATTCCAGATAGACCTTATCCCCCAATCCTGCCGCTTGACATCATGACAAACGGTATACTGAAACTAATGACTACTCTTGACACAAACAAAGCCACTGGACCAGATCAGATCCCCGCCTTAATCCTCAAGTCCTGTGCCCCTGTCCTTGCCCCCATCCTTCAATCTATCTTTTCACAATCACTCGCCTCATTCACCCTACCAAATGACTGGCTTTATGCAAATATCGACCCCCCTCTTCAAGACAGTCGACAGAACTGACCCTACGAATTATCGCCCCATCTCTCTCACATCGATCGCCTGCAAAATTTTTGAACACATAATACATAAACACATAATGAATCACATTGATACCCACAACATCCTTACAGACTCACAACATGGTTTTCGGCCCAGACGATCATGTGAGACCCAACTAATCACCACTCATCTTGACATTGTACGACAATTAGACAGACGTGACACCAAACATGTTAACGCCATACTACTTGACTTTGCCAAAGCCTTTGACAAAGTTCCCTATAAAAGACTAAATGACTCTTAAATTACGACATTACGGGATCACAGGACCAATACTTCACTGGATCACTGCTTTCTTTACGTGTAGGACCCAACACGTCTTACTCGACAAAGTATATTCTGACCCTGTCCCTGTCTCTTCTGGTGTCCCACAAGGCACCGTTCTTGGCCCCCTTCTTTTCCTTCTGTACATAAATGACCTTCCACTTTCGACTCCTAATTCTTCTACTAGACTTTTTGCTGACGACAGCCTTTTGTTACGACCTATAAAGACTGAAGACGACTGTAGACTCCTCCAACAAGACAGTGACGCGCTTGAACAGTCGGAAAGACTATGGCAAATGTCCTTTAGACCCGATAAATGCAAAGTTCTCCATTTCACAAGATCACACACACCTATCCACTACATCTACACCTTACACAACCATCCCTTAACATCTACAGCAACCCACAAATACCTCGGTATTCATCTTTCCAACAATCTCACCTTTAACACACACACCGACTTCATCATTAACAAAGCCAACAGAACACTGGGGTTTCTGAGAAGCCTACACTACTATACCCCAAACATTAAACACACAGCTTACAACATACTTGTACGTCCAACACTAGAGTACTGTGCGACCCCTACACTAAACACAACATTGAGAAACTCAAGCAGGTTAATACTAGGGCAGCCAGGTTTATTACTCGCAATTATTCACATACTCCTGGGATTACATCTCACATAAAAAACAGATTAACATGGACCTACTCGGGACACGAAGACAAGCACACAGACTTACAATCATGTACAAAATCACAAACCTTGTAGACATCAACAAACATGAATACTTACAGGCAGCACACTCACCCAACACAAGGAACTCACACACCAGTAAATTTGTCACATACCACACTAACACTAACTCTTACAAGCACTCATTCTTTCCACGTACTATATGCGACTGGAACAGGCTCCCACAACACATAATCGAAGCTGAAACACAACACTCACAAACAAACTAGATAAACACTTAACAATACAAACTCCTTCACAAACACCAACACTTCCGCTTGCACCTTGATCCTTTCCCCCTTCCCCCAGCAACCAATCGCTACTAATATGCGCGCTCATTTAGCGCCTTACGCATAAACATTGAGAACTAGATGGATTCTGTAAAAAGTGAGTTACATTTCAAGTTATTGTAGCATTATGGTTCATTTGCACAAAAATAGCCTTAGAAGAAAAGTGACTTGGTTTGTATTTGTCTATCAAGTTATTGTAGCATTATGGTTCATTTGCACAAAAATAGCCTTAGAAGAAAAGTGACTTGGTTTGTATTTGTCTATCATTTTATTTAGGTCTTATCTCCCAACTCAGCCACTACCTCGTTATGCATATTGTCCGAGTTTTTTTCTCTCACTCACATACCGCATAACTGTTATTATCAACTTGCGGAGGTAATACCACAGATGAAAAGTTTGTTCTTTCATTTTATCAAATGTAAAATTTACCCTCCTAATGAAGGCTGAGTGGAACAAACTATTCCCCAAAATCAGCGCTACAATAATTCCGGATAGCACGTGCAAGGAGATATTATCACGTTGCCTCGACCAACAATAGCCTGGCTGACTGAAAGACTTTGTATAAAGAACACAAAGTATCAAAGGAGGTAGGCCTCGTATTTCACGATGGTTGATTCACAGACGGTTGGAAATTTTACCTTATTAAATTAGTTAGCGTCTTACAGAAGTATGTCCACAAGGCAGCATGAATAACATGGACATTATTATTATGGTAAATGGCAACTCAGCCTTCCGCAGAAAACAGGAATTTTGACATTCGGAGGCATGACAGTTCTATTTTCTATTAAAAGTTAAATCTACACCGAAAACTTACAAACGCACACACGCACATATCATATATGTATATATATATATATATATATATATATATATATATATATATATATATATATATATATGTATATATATATATATATATTATATATATGTGTGTGTGTGTGTGTGTGTGTGTGTGTGTGTGTGTGTGTGTGTGTATGTATATATATGTATATATATATATATATATAATATATATATATATATACACATATATATATACACACACACACACATGTGTGTGTGTGTGTGTGTGTGTGTGTGTGTGTGTGTGTGTGTGTGTGTGTGTGTGTGTGTGTGTGTGTGTGTGTGTGTGTGTGTGTGTGTAGTGTTGTGTAGTGTAGTGTAGTGTAGTGTAGTGTAGTGTACTGTAGTGCGGTGAACACATACACACACACAAACACATATCCACACACACGCACACGTATATGTGTGTGCACATATCCACACACAGGCACACATATATTTGTGTGTGTGTGTGTATGTGTGTATGTGTGTATTCATACGTATACTGTTGTATTAACTGATGCCTTTACATCTCGTGTTTTATAAGAATTTCATAACTTTGTTTTTTACTTACTTTTATGCATATTCATTTACCTACGGTACTGCTGCCTAACAATTTTCGCCACGAAAGGCGCTTGTTCTTGCACTACTACACGTTTATATACGAGAGGCATTTCACTACGGAAGTAAGTATACTACCTGAATATCCTTAAAAAATTCTAGAATCCCTCCATTCGTAGCAACATTTTATAAGATCTTGGTAATAAAGATGTCTAACAAAATCGGCAAAAAAGTGTCAAACCTGAGCAGTTGAAGGGCAGAGTGTTGAGGGCGCTGCGCACCTTGTTTCAAACCTTTTAAAAAATCGGACAAGTGGATTTATCAGAAATCGCTGACATGGTTTCGCAGTTTCATGCTTTGTGACCCTGTGTACCAAGTTGGGAAAGTTTAGATCATTAGCAACTCGAGGAGGTCATTACGTCAGATTTTGATGACGTTACAAAAGTTGCGATTCTGTTTCTTGGAAAAAGCACATAGGTCTTATTTTTATGCTGGCTGCACCTACATCCTGGCCGGATATCCTGAACTGGCCGGATGTTTCAATATTGTGGCTATTTCTGGAAGTGAGCTTAAACGATAATCAAGCAGTTAATCCCGAAGTTAATCCATCAGATTATAACAAGAACGAAAAATATAGAATTTTTGAAGGGTTACAGTAACCAATGTCTTGGCAGTAACCTTACGCAAATTCGTATTTTTATAGTAAACTAATGGATTTGATGCAGAACCTGTAAGGTAACAACTGATAACAGTTTAGTTCAATAATCATTTACGATGATTTGATGTTTTTGTTGTTGTTTTTTTTGAGACTGAAAAAATTGGAAATCACTTGAAAATCGGAAATCCCTGACAAATCTGTCTTGAAATCCGGAATTCCCAGCAAATTTGGGGGGGATTTCGGAAATCCCGGAAATCGTACGCTATTATGGGTAGTGAAAATGCCACTCGTTTATATAGGTCAGTGGCTCCCAACCTTTTGGTAAGGATACAGAATCCGTTATTCCGACTTCGGCCAAAGATACATTCTATGGGAACATTTCTGCGATCTCTCCTCTGGGAAGTATAATGAATTACTCGATCTTCTATCCCGCACTACGCGGTTGTCAAACAATAGGCCTCTTTTCCGGTGCCAAGAAACTGTCTAACTACACTAGAGGGTGTCGTTTTTTTTCATTTGCGACACTTCTCCGGGCCGATCGCGACAGCAACGCATGCTTCTACGCTGTTGCCACAGGTGCGGCTCCACCCCCATTCCTAGGAATTGTACTCGAGTTGACGAATCTGATTTTGTTTTTGAATTGTATCAATTAACAAATCACTGGTTTACTGATGTAACATTAGGAAATAACAATAAATACAAGTTGTTAGTTATCAACATCTTCAAATTACAAATCAAACGACGGAAAACTATCGAAATCAGTTGAAAATGCGCGGGCCCTAAGCGCCTCCCATCATACTTCTTCATTCGTCCATCGACAATGGTTTCGAAGGTCACACTTCTTTAAATATTTTGAAAATGACACTATTTATTGATTGATATCAACTACATTCAAAAGGATATATAAGTTTACGTCAGCATATTCAATTATATATATATGGTAAGTAAAATGAGTATGTAAAACCTAATATAAATTTTCATAATATTCTTTTGACCATTCGAACACATTCTGTAAATAAAACATGAGATACTTCCCCGTATATTATTCGTCATGGAACACTTTTGGAGGCCTGAATATTGCCCAAGATTAAAGCATAAATGATATAAGAAAAACAGTAACAAGCCTTACATGACATATCGCATAAAAATGTACACATACGAAAGATAAATCTGAACCTCGCTCTTCTTAGCCGTAGCCCTATTAATTAATACGAAAGCATATAAACCTTAAACTCTATATTATTATATATGGTAGTAGTGTATATTTTAATATATTTCTGCATATATGTATATATACATATACATACATAAATGCATATATATATATATATATATATATATATATATATATATATATATATATATATATATATATATATATATATATATATGCATGTGTATACATATGTTTAAATATATATGTATGTGTGTATACTGTATATATAGGTATGTATCTATATATACATTTCTGTATGTATATATATAATTCATATGCATATATGCACACATATATACACATATATACACGCGCGCGCGCGCGTAAATACTTTCAAACTAGTAGTTAGTGCAATAATATCCTCATTAACATCAAAGTTACTAATATTGCACCATACAGTGCAGCATCAACTTTGAACTTCCCATTTTCTTCCAGTTTTAGAACGGGCAGAGGTGCTCCGCGCGCTCATCAGCCAGGTGCAGTTGCTTATATATGACTCCGCCCCCATAAATAGTGGCGGAGTCATGGGAATCTGTAGTACTACACCTTTTGGCGTCGGAAAAAAGGCCTAATGTCTCAATGCTCTCGACAGAGGCTGTTGCCATTGTGTAGACCACGCGTCCTAGAGGGAAGGATATTTTGTACACAATTTAGGGCAGCCATTGATAACCTGCAGCCTAGCGTGCCTCCTGAGTACTGTGCTTACCACAGTAAAGAGAAATATTGGTCGGAGTTGACAAATCATCATTACCCAGGTTCCCAGCCATATTGATATTAGGGGAAATGAGCTTGCTGGCAGATTACTGAGATTGGTAGGGGATGCCCCAAAATGCAGTCAGATGGTAATCCATTGCCCATGTTGATCATCATATTGCACAACGTACAGGCAATCCGGCCACCGCCGTAAGTACTCAATGGCGGTGTAGCAGGCGAAACAGCACTAAATAGAAACTGGCTACATATTTACAATGCCCGGCATCTCACTGATCTGATATATATATATAGATAGATAGATAGATAGATAGATAGATAGATAGATAGATAGATAGATAGATAGATAGATAGATAGATAGATAGATATAGATAGATAGATAGATAGATAGATATATGTGTGTGTGCGTGCGTGTATGTGCGTCTGTGTTATATTATATTTATATTATATATATCTAATATATATATTAAACATATTTCATATATATCATACACAAACATATGTGTGTGCATATATATATATATATATATATATATATATATATGTGTGTGTGTGTGTGTGTGTTGTGTGTGTGTGTGTGTGTGTGTGTGTGTGTGTGTTGCGTGCGTGCGTGCGTGCGTGCGTGCGTGCGTGTGTGTGTGTGTGTGTATGTGTGTGTGTGTGTGTGCGTGTGTGTGCATATACACGCACGAACACGCATATATTACTGTTTTATTATTCATACAGACACACGCACACACAGAGAGACACGTGTACATGTATATATATATATATATATATATATATATATATATATATATATGTATATATGTATATATATATGTATGTTACGTACACACACGCACACACACACACACACACACACACACACACACACACACACACACACACACACACACAACACACACACACACACACACACACACACACATTTATATATATATATATATATATATATATATATATATATATATATGTGAATATGTATATGTATGTATGTGTGTATATATATATATGTATATATATATATATATATATATATATATATATATATATATATATAGAGAGAGAGAGAGAGAGAGAGAGAGAGAGAGAGAGAGAAAGGGGGAGAGTAGTACCAATTAGAAATACTGAATTTGCATTATCAGTGACAGCACTGAAAGGTAGTGTGCCTTCAGTTGATTACTTTTGCTAAAAGTGGGTTATGGGCTCAAAAAAATTAAAAACCACTGTCCTGGCACATCGTTATGTTACTGTTTGTCACTACCCTCTTGATCTGCTACTGTACCAGACCTGCTTTTTCTTGTAATACAATTATTGGATATAGCATACTGCATAGTATGCCATGCGGTTCCCACGTGCGTTCCCACGCTCGCTGTCTGCCCTCGCTTCACACCCAAGCCATGCTTGTGCTCTGTGCCCCCCTCTGCTCCGAATTTAAGGGAGGCCAACAATGACCCACTCTCACACCTTCAGCGACCTTTGCTGTGACCGGGAGTGACCGCTCACCCGGCGGCTGACCGGGCGATCACCAGTCCATGTGGCCGCACTGGCCTCGGCTCCCGTCAGCATCACCAGCTACAGTGCGTTATTCATATTGCGATTCTCGTGTATACATTTAAAAGTGCGTGTAACTCTTAGAAATAAAGAGATCAGCCACTAAATGTATCACTAGCCACCGCCTGTAATTCAACTACACTATATAGAAGGGCCTGTTAGTACCCTCTTATAGAGCAATATAGGGTGCAATACTGCATACTGCATAGTATAGCATACTGCAAGCTCGCAGCCTACGTGTGTCCATATCTAGACCACGTGCGTGCCCACTCTGTCTGCCCCTCGCTTCACCCCAAGCTACACTCTCTAAGAATAGAAGCCACGCCGCGAGCCAAGGGATATATAAGGTCATCAAGCTGACCCGATCTCTCCCTCAAGTTCCAGGCTAGTACAGTGGTAACGTGTCGGCTTCTCATCCGAGGGGTCGGCGGTTCGCGCCCCGCCCAGGCGCGCGAGAAGTTGCAATTGTCGTTCGAAGGTTACTGCTGTGACTGGGCACCACGGTGGGTAAGGACTAAACTCTGTCGCGTCAGCACTCGATAACACACGTTGATCGAGTCGACATTAGTCGGCACAGCCCGGGCTCCCCCATAGCCCGGGCGAGGGTCAGCTTCGCATATCGAACTTATCCTTATCCTTGACCCGATCTCATTTCTCAATCCCCCACACCTCGACGAGCCGGCCCTTGACCAGCCCGGTCGTTCCTGAACAGAGTTGACCGTTCCTCCCGGCTTCTGCCTCTCCTGGGCCAGGCCGGAGGGTCACCCTCAGCACCGCCAGATACCCTGTTTTTGTATCATTATAACTAGCGCGTGTAACTCTTAGAAATAAAGAGAACAGCCACTAAAGTGTATCACTAGCCGCCACCTGTAATTCAACTACACTATATAGAAAGGCCTGTTAGTACCTTTTATAACAATTCCAAATCGCAATGCTGACAAGAACAATTTACAGAAGTTAGTCTTGATGAAGATTTGATAGGCAAATAAGTATCTCTTACGTTCTATGCCCATTTAAACATTCAGAGTGTGATTATCATTGCGAGTGCAGCTGAACAAAAGGTCGGTGTTTAATCATCTTTGAATCTAAATGAAAGCTTATTAACCGCACCACACCCTCTGCTGATACTCTGTTAATAGTTGAAAAGATTTTCGCTTGGTGTAAAGACAGGCTGTAAAGAATGTTCTGAATATATTTTCTCGTACGGGCAGTGGCGTCCAAGGTCTATTATAGAGACCTTGGTGGCGTTGGGGTAGAAATCCCATTTTTTAATTTAATGAAAGGCGTATCAGTGAAAATAACGGATCTCCGTCTTGTGGTCTGACTTGAACTTGCTGGGAAAGGACAGCGTCTCGAATCTTCTTATTCAACTATAAGAAAAATAAAACCAAATATCTGCAATTACCAAGTGACAATAAATCATAACCATGTTCTCTATTTTCCTGTACGTTATTTGGTTGACGCGCTGACTTCTGCATACAGCAGTGCATATAGCAATTGCCATTGCTTAGAAACATTTAAAACCAGCGAAGGATATCTGTGTTTATATGAATAAACGTCTAAAACCAAAACTACCAATTTATCATATTTAGGAAAGAAGAGTAAGTTCAGTAAATAAAGACAGTAAGAATAATACCGATGACATCCTGAACTATTATTTTTCCCACACGGGAAATTGTCACCTGGTAATAATCTAAATCAGCTCTCAAAACTTTGATTTTCCAAAGGAGGTGACGATACAGGTAATCAGTCACATGTCCAATTTCAGCATGATCCACGCTGACGTCACTGAAATAGTTGCGTTATTTCTCGCAGCAAGTCGTCTGCTTTCCACTCGCGCCTCTCTGGCCATCGAGAAATGCACACGGAAGGATGTCCTTTCCACAACCTGGAACTACGAATTTTACACAGATTCTTTTGCACAATATACCGTTTACATATAGAAAGTATTCTCTGTATTAAACACTGGGCTTTGGGCAATAGCTAGTATTTATGTTATTTTATATAGTTGAATTGAATAATCTGAGCTCCATTTTTATTTCCGATTTATCTAAGTAAACAACGATGGCTGTTCGAAAACGAACCTACTCGTCAGGCTCTGATGCCTCCGAAAGATTTATCTCAATTAATGAACGGCCCGTGGATGACATTTCTCTGGAATTCTTTTATAAACCTCATACAATCACGCTGCTGATCGTTATTATATCTGGGCTGATCTACTTTGCATTTACAAGGTAAGTGAGAGTTAGTACATCGTAAGGTGAGAGCCAATACTAACACTATCATGTGTTTTCCCTAGATTATTGTTTTTGATATGGAATGCCAACCATAATATTTTTCTTAGGAAAATAGCTCTTGATTTTGGACCTTAAGTAATGTTAATATCGAGGTGAGATCGATATGGTGCCGAAGTTACCCCAGAATTTTCGGTATAGTTGCAGTTTCCAATATCCATTTAGTACAAGGTAAACTTTGCCCATAATGGACAGAAAGACTTAAAATACAACACTTTTCATGTCTGGTGTAATCATCAAGAGTTGATAATAAGAAATTGGTAATTTTCTATACAAAGTCCACCTCTCCGAAATCGACGATTTTGGTACCATTGGATTCCTAGCACTGTCCACATTGCAAATATATAGTTTTTATTGCGTGGAAACCCCCCTATAGCGACAAACTTAGCCCTGATAGCAGGGGAGGGCATGAAAGGTTCTAGGAAAAATGCGGGGTTAAATATCAGTAATAATATAACCCACAGTGAAAATAACCATGGTTATTCACATGATTTTCCATTGCAGGGGCTGTGCCCCCTGCAAACCCCTCCCCCTTGGGGGCTACCAACCCCCACTGAGGAAACAAAACCTCCACCATGTATTCCCAGCAGGCTAGAACGTTACGCAAATATCATCAATGTTGGAGCGGTGGACGTAATATTACAATTATTTCATAACATTCCCACTGAATCAGCATACTAACCGTGACATAGTCAGCATTGTATACAGAGACG